TTATCTGTTTATTTACAAAAGGATTTAACCGTTGTATTGTTCAATATGTGAGAACATGGATACAACATACATAGGCCATAATATTAATATATATCACATATGTGTTATTAATATACCAAAAAAAAATCTCCGATTAATCCTCGTATTATTTCCGATTTCTTGATGCTAGGTCCATGTCGCACGCGTAGCAACTAACGAGTTCCCGAACAAAGGATACAACTAGCTATATCCAGGGAAAGAGATTATATATAAGAGAATCGAAGTAGATATATACACTAAAGATATTCAAGACAGATATCCCAACCTTACTGGTCACGTCTACTATTATTAGGGTTGCTAGAGATTTTGTTATGCGTTGTGTTTCCTTGGTTTATAGTAGTATTGTTTGAGCTGGTGTTGGGGTTTACAGAGTTCAGTTTCTAGGTCTTGTTGATGTTATTTTTGGAGGAGGTAATAAGTATTTTAGCTGTGAAGTTTGTTCTGTAGTATCCCATATCAATAAATAATTTTGGTAAAGTGAGGTAACGCCTTGACGTTTCTCTATTTAATGTAATCCCGTTTTACTATTGTATTTATGTTTCATAGATACTGTCAACGGTTTGAGCGAACCTCTCTTAATCTCTATAAGAGCATCTTTAACCACAAAATCCTTTTTGGGGTGTTTAATTTTTTTTGATTGAAAAAAATATTAAAAACCGAATTAATTGCGAATCGTCATGTGTCCGTGAAACCCGCAAACAATGTAAGCATCCAACAAAAACAGTGTTTATTTTGGTTATTTTGCAACCGGCTTTTGTCTTCTTTGTGCCCCTTCCCCTCTTAAGCAACCCACTAAGTACTGCTCTAAGGATTCAATTTTACCTAACGTTTTCACATGATATATCACTTCCAAATGATGTCAATGCTACCAAGTTAAGATATAGACGGAATGTCAACTGAATTTTTTTCTTTCGTGTTATTTTGCCATGGGATCAAACTCTAGATTAAGCATTTTGTTTTCATATTTATTTTCAAAAAGAAAGTTATAATCAAGTAATATATAGGGAGGTGGGAATAAAAAAATTAAATCAAATTTATTTATTTTTTCATTTACGTTCACACTATATATGGAGACAAAAGAAAAGATAAACGAAATCATTAAACTCGTCGACGAGGTTGAAGAAACAAAGAGAGAGGGGAGAGCAAAATGGAATGGAAAAAATGGTACTTAGACGCGATTCTTGTGCCATTAGCTCTAGTGATGATGCTTTGCTACCACATCTACTTGTCCTTCATGGTTCGAACCCATCCCTTCTCCACCGTCCTCGGCATTAACTCTCGTGGCCGCCGGATCTGGATTTCCTCTATGATCAAGGTTCTTATAATATCCATCTCCATGGCGTTCTTACACAAAGATATACATATTTAGTTTACCAAAAAAAAAAGATACATATTTAATTCAAATATAATGGTAATCTCGTGATTATCGCCATACTCTCGTACTGATTATAGTTTTGTACGAGGAATAGAACACTTGATGGTATGCAAACTAGTCTTGATTTTCAACTTGAAATTTTAAGAACAATCATTAACCCCAGTCTTTTATCTGAGGTTCTTAGTTTCATTAAGAGAGTCTTTTATCTGAGGTTCTTAGTTTCATTTAGAGATGTTCTTAACTTTTCTTGGATTTTAACTAAAAAAATTAAAAATCGTCTCTTAAATAAAAGATATAAAAACCGTTTCTTAATCAAAAAATGTAAAAAAAAAATGTCAAATCATAAGTTAATAACTTCGGCTAAGAGACCGGGTTTAAGCTTATCTTAAGGCCGCAGTCTCTTATTTGCATGAATCTCTCAAGGAAAAAAGTATTAAATATAAAAAAGTGAAGACAGAAATGAGAATAGTTTCATTTAGTCAAGTTTTTGAGAAACTCATATGCCATTTGCATTTTTCTAGTGTTTTTTTTTGACAAAAAGTAATATTTTTTAAGTACTAACCAATAGAGACATTTTTCTAAGGGTTAGTATTTAAAAGTATTTTTTTTCTCTATAAACTCAAAAGAGTCATCGGTTAATAATGCACTAAGAATAACAAAATTCATATAAAATAAAATTATAATAATAATTAATTAAAAGCTATATTTACTGTTGTATAATTTTGGCAGGAGAATCAGAAGATGAACATATTGACGGTACAAACACTCCGTAACATAGTAATGGGAGCTACACTGATGGCAACGACCTGCATCCTCCTCTGCGCCGGTTTAGCCGCGGTCATAAGCAGCACTTACAGCATCAAGAAGCCTCTAAACGACGCCGTTTATGGTGCACATGGAGATATCGCCATAGCCGTCAAATACCTAACGATTCTCACAATCTTCATTTTCTCTTTCTTCTCTCATTCTCTCTCCATCCGCTTCCTCAACCAAGTCGCCATGCTCGTTAACATCCCTAACTTATACCCTAATCCCTCTGGTGACTTGTTCCTCACGTCTGAGTATGTGAGTGAGTTGTTTGACAAGGGTTTCTTTCTCAGCACGGTAGGGAACAGGTTGTTCTACGCAGGGTTTTCCCTGATGTTATGGATCTTTGGTCCCATCCTCGTGTTGTTGAGTGTTTTGGTGATGGTGCTTGTTCTTTATCACGTGGACTTTGTGTCACTCGGCAACAATAAAGAGAAACAACGTATAGTGGATTGTCCTCGCGCCTCTGATTCTCCAAATGGTGGTGGTGATGTTGCGTAATACATTTTCCATATGTGAGATTTTGAAAAACAATATGAAAATGATAAAATATAGCATTATACATTTTCAGATGTGAAAATGGTATTTCTAAGCATCACTACTTATTTTGTTATTCATGATGCCTGATGGATTAACAAGATTTGAATTCGAGTTTTAGTATTTACTATAGTTAATACATAAGGTAGATTGTAAAATTTTAAATAATTAAAAGTCCACATGATACGAATGTTCTAGTTAATGACTTTTCCTTTAAAAAAAACTAATTTAAAATACTTGGATTTTATATTCTGATCAAAATAACTTTTGTTTTTTTTTTAAGATACATTTCCTTGTTTGTTTCTTTTTATTGTTTTGTTGTAAAATATTTTAGCTTTTTAAAGGAATTGCAGATCAAAAGAAAAGAAAAGTTTAACACCCAAAAGTTAATTCAACATTAGAGAAAAAAAGTATTTATGGTGCTGCATAAAAAGGTATTTAGATCTGCTTTTCAAAAGCATATGCAGAAAAGTAAGAGAAAACAAAAGCATGAAAGAAGAGAAGAAGCATTTTTAGTATTGTTGGTGAATGGTGATGAATCATTTGTTACGTTATCATTCAAAGAATATGATTATTGTAACAGTCTGCAGCTAGCTTAGGCTTCTCTAGCTAAATGATTAAGTTTATCATTAGCATATAATTGCTACTATAAGCATCTATAAACTGTTGACATATAGAAGTCAAGGAAAGAAAAAAATACAGAGGCTAAGATCTCTCTGGCTTTGCTTTACTATTCTCTTTTGTTATTGCTGTCATAAAAAGTTAAAGATTTGAAAATGAGGACGTTACATTGACAAAGGCAAATTTAATTTTGCTTAGTCATTAAGAAGCTTTTTATAACTTTAGTAAAGAAGAGAGTGTTATATAAAGATGTCTATCACAACTTACACTTCCCCTCCTCTTTTCTTCCCACCATATTTCATATGTAGAGAAAAAAATGGATGGTCACACACCTAAAGACACCGGTATGAAAAGAAGTGCTTCAGAGTTAGCTCTACAAGAGTATCTCACTAAGGTCTTGTCCTCTTCTGCTTTATCAAAACAAGAATCAACAACCCCTCTAGACCCTTCTTTTGATCCCATGAACCGGGTTAGTCTTTCTTCAGTTGTCTATATTAAGATCCAGAGACTGTAGTGTAAGAGCCTTGGCTTTTCTTTTTGGTTGCAGGATCACAATAGTGAGTTAAGAGATAGACATTTGTTATCTGAGAGCTTGATTCCACCTGGAGTTTTACTTGATGCACAGTCCTCTATTTGCGGTATGTGCTGGTCTATTTGATTTGAGTCCATGTGGTCTTTGTAACAAAGTGTTGTTAGAGTGATAATTTTTCATTTGTATGCTTGAAAGAAAATCTATCAGCTGATAGTCCAGTGTCAGCTAATAAGCCTGAGGTAAGGAGGAGAGCTCGGAGAGTGGTGAGTGTATCTTCTCATGATCGTTCAGATGAAGAAGATGCAGAGACAGAAGCTGGCCAATCTGAAATGACGAATGATCCCAATGCTCTAAAACGTATGAGAAGGTATGTTGTTGTATATGGATACAAAGTTAGATGTGAAACACCGTTTTAATCTACTTTCTTTGGTCTGTGATGTGAACTCAGGATGTACTCAAACAGGGAATCAGCAAGGAGGTCAAGGAGAAGGAAGCAAGAACTCTTGGCAGATCTTGAATCTCAGGTTGATTCTTTGAAAGGAGAGAACTCAACACTGTATAAGCAGCTCATAGATGCAACACTACTCTTTCGTAGTGCTGGTACAAATAACAGAATTCTCAAATCAGATGTTGAAACTCTCAGAATCAAGGTATCATCATGAATCCCTTGAACGACTTAATAAAGTGGAATGTGCTAATTTAAGTAGTGTACAGGTGAAACTAGCAGAAGATTTGGTAGCTAGAGGGTCTTTCACTAGCAGCTTGAATCAACTTCTGCAAACTCATCTAAGTCCATCACCACAGTCTATCAACAGTCTGCACTACACAGGACGGGCCTCACCTGCCATTACAGTCCACAACGACCAGTCTAGGTTCCCTGGAATCACACTCTCTGGCCAGAACTCAAGCCCTGGACTTGGTAATGTATCCAGTGAAGCTGTTAGCTGCGTCTCAGACATCTTGCCATGAGCCTCTTCTTCACAATATGTAACGATCACTATGAAATTTTCATGTATGTGTTATCACTATAAGACTAGAAACATTTAATGAAACCGACATTCGTTATTGAACTCAAGTTTCTTTTACAAGTCTCTCCTTTGATCCCTGTTACATATACATCAACTTGGAAAAACGAAAACAATAAACATCAGGTTTGTGTATAACATATACTCCAGAGAATGTGAATATTGGGTTATAGGTGTGTATGTATAAAATGTATAAAGACGATACATTACATTCCACTGATCATTACACTATACTTTCCAGCTATGTCTATTTGCTATATCTGAGGAGATTCCAAAGGAACCACTATGTTTGTTGTAAATGAGCAGACAAAACTTACATAGAAAAGCAACCCTTAGTTGATTACAGGTTCCATACCATTTGAAAGGGAGAAGTCCTTAGGCAAGGGGATGTTTAACTCTGAGCAAACCAGCCTGATAATATTAGCCGTAACACCTCCCATAGACATCTTGTTGAGTGTTATTGCAATGGAAAATCTGTTTTTGATGTCACAGAAGCCTGTTGATCCTCCCAACCCTGAATGTCCAAAACCAACTAGAGACCCATCTTCTGAAGTGACACGCTTAAAACCAAGTCCAAACTTTCCATCAGGTAGTACTAAGCCACTGTAATCTCCAGTACCCATAAAAGCATCATGAATCCTTGAGTTGCTATAAATATTGCGAATATCATCTTCATGAACATTGCTACTAATCTCAGTTTTGCCATGAGAACTGCTAGCGTCATTGACTAGCCTGGCTAAACTTTCAGTACTTGACTCTCTGCCGTCATAGAGCCTCTTCTCTCTATGATCTTTTGGTTTAAGCTTTTCTATATCTGCCATCTCCTTACCCTTCCTCTTTTTTATTGTGTCATTCACCGAGGAGAATTTTGGAACATGTGTGTGGCTGCCAAGTGGTGGCTGGGATGAAGAGGAATGTGGCGGTGGCACTAAACCGCCATCTGCTAAGGCTGCATAGTACCGAGCCAGTGCACGAGCCGAGCAATGTCCATTAGCGGCAGGGATTATGGCTCTACGCACATTCAATGTGTTAAATAAGACTGGCAAGCTGCTAGCAATTTGCAAGATCTTCACAGGCTGAAATGTCGAAGGAAGCTCAGGTTGACTAGGAATGGACGGAAGCTTGCTTAGTTCGTCGGTGTCCAGCGTCAATGTAGCAAGCCGAGATTCAACACCTATTAAAAAAAAAGACGTTAGATAGCTCTTAATAAAGCTGGTAGCCTAATTTACAATGTTTTTTACTTACCTGGGGGAATACCAATGTACAGTTCTCCATCAATCTTTAGGGGTTTTATAATGGATTCTTCAAGGATCTCCTGGAGTTTCTTTCCAGAAGCATACTGTTCAAGATTGATCAAAACAAGATCGATATCAACATAGTAGAGAAAGTGAAAAAAAACCTAGTTGGAGCTATTACAAATACACAGGTTCACAATAAATGGCATGACTAGTTTACCTCAAGGATTCCACCACATAGCCATCCAAACGTGAGATAGTGATAAGACTGCTGACTGCCAGGCTCTGTTTCAGGTGATGAATTAGCAATCCGTTTCAAACATTCATCCCACTCACAAATAAGCAGAGGGTTTTCTCCTATAGGGTCAAAGGCATTGTGCAGCCCAGACGTATGGTTAAGCACATGATGGACCTGATACACAATACGGAGGGAGTCAAATGAGAAGTAATATTTCACGATAGCTTGCATATTTGATTACATGACACTGTAACTTCTTATACCTTTATGCCCTCTTTTCCATTTGATCCAAACCCTGGCCATATATCTCCTACAGTCTGGTCGAACTGGAGTTTTCTGCATCATTAAATACTAAACATCACTAACGTATGACTAAGCATGAGTTCTGCAAACGAGATGATGGAATTAATAATGAGACCAATATGTAAGAACTGGAGCTGGTTCAGAATCTCAGGTGCATGAAACGAACACACATTTACAAGTTTGTAATGTTGGTACCCACCTTTGGTCGACAAGCCAATGTATCATGCCGGCAGTGACCCCTTTTGTGACAGAGAAAACAGGAAATAAACTATCTGGTTGAACTGGACGAGGATCATATCTTCCAAGTACTCCAGCAGCAGTATCAATAATGACTTTCCCATCTTTATATGCACATACCTACATAAACATGACCGAGTTAGAACACATGTAGAAACATAACGAACGCTGCCTGCAAGCCAGATGGTAACAGAGTGTTTCCCACCTGAATTCCAAGTATTTTCTGGATACTCCCAAGCTCAATGAGCAGCTTCCTCAGTTTGGACTCTACATCGGAGTGGACAGGCGAGTCATGTATCCAAGACGAGTCTACTGTTGGTCCTCGACTGATACTCCTGCAAAATCACATTATGGCCATACGAGGTTATTACAAGTAGAAGATATAATGAACTACAAAAGCTCCAAGGGAACTTACCCCAACAGAACAGATTCGGCAAATGGTCTCATGATGTCCAGATAAACGATACTAACGTTCATAGTAGATGAAAGTCCTAAATAGTTGATAAGTAAACAACAGTAAATTACTATGAAAAAGCAAATATCTTTGATGAATGAAGTAAAATAGTCTGATTCACACATCATACCTCTGAGTAAATTAATGACCCTTGCAAAAATGACAATATCGCCAGGAAATGCATCTACCTGCATCAAATGGCTTCATTAAGATAAAGATGGCCACTAACAAGGCGTATACTTTGAAAGAAATTCATCCTAACCGGATTGAAGCGTTTAACTTCTTTCGGGGTGAGCTGCATCTTTTCCTGTATCACTTTCATATTTTGCGTTCTTTGATCATTCAAGGATTTCAGCGTTTTCTATAGAGAGAGATACTGTGAGAGCGGATCCACTAAAAGTTACCCCAAAAGAGAAAGCAAGGTTATGAAACAAAGAAGTAAATTTACTAACCGGAGCTTCATTTGATGGAGTTGAGGACCGGAAGAAGAGACTTGCCACACTCATTGCTTGATCTGGGAGATCCAGACGCAGCTTCAGTCCCATTTCTGCAAAGGCGGACAAGAGCGCCACTTGATCTCCCTGTTACAGTAAGCAGTTAAAGTCCAAACTATGACCTACCTACAATTCTATAAACTTGTAATATTCACACGACCAAAGCGCAGTTAGTTCATTTTTTTCTTTTCAGCCAGTTTAACTATCTGAAACCTCTATAAATTTGTTAACGAACAGTTTCATCATTCTAATATCCCACCCACCAAAGGATTTGGGTAAGACATGGTAAAGAAAGAGGGTCCGTTGCATAAACTTTACAAACCTCTGCCGATGCTAGAAACATCTTGGCTAGTGCTTGTTTGAAGGGATGTGAAAGTTTCTTCGTAAGCCCAAAATCAAGTAAAATGGGGCGATGTGGTGGTTCCTTACTAACAAGAAAATTTCCTGCAAAACAGAGTACAGGTACAGGGGATCTATTGTCTCAGCAAGCATGGTGGTTACAAGGCTGAAGAAAGTAGTTGGCAAACTCCAGACGGAAGTTTCTTGTAAAAGACCATACCTGGATGAGGGTCGCCGTTGAAAAACCCATCAACATATATCTGGTGGGCATATGCACGAGTGATCTCTTCAACGATCTTTTGTTTATCCACACCAAAAGCATCTAGAGATTCCACATCATTCAAGCGAATTCCATCCATGTACTCAAGAATGAGCACACTCTCAGACGACTATCATTTAGAGTAATGAAGAGGGTGTAAGACATAAGAAGCAGGAAAAGAATAAGGAATGAGCAGTTTTTAGCTTCTAAATTCATCAATTTGTAATGCTGCATCTAAGTCTGCATTGTGTTACAGAGTGGCTACATTAGCTCACAATGCAATCTCTGAGCAATATCATATATAGAAAGCTTGTTGCGTCAGAGATATCATACTATAATACAGAATTACCGACAGTCTTTTGTGATTCTCATTAATAAGATTAATGTTTCCATCATAGACTTAGAGCTGTATATGGAAGTATTTATGTCCGTATACTTTAGAGTAAGAAAAGAGCACTAAAGATAAGTACCTGGATTATATCTGGAATTAAGACATTAACCCGATTGTCCCTTCCAACTTCATCATTTGTCTTCTTGCACCCAAGATTCCTGGATACGGTTCTAGTATTTTCTACATGTTGAGAAACAGAACACAAAGGGTGAAAACTCAGAAATGGAGTTATCAGTGACGTGCAAGCATGAACCTCTAGGAAAGGAATTCAAACACACAATATTCTGCCTATTTTTGCCATGTTGTTATCCCGAACATAAAGTGTGACTAAAATGGTAAGATTATGCATATAATCCAACATAAAAAATTGACAACCTAACTACCCAAGAAAGATCAATAGAGATGAATATCAATCTGGTAAATTATAACTCCGAATCACTATCTCATCTCAACAACATGATCACAGAAGGCGATCAAAAACTTTAATGCAAAATTTAATATCTATGCAAGTGAAGCATACCAGCTTCAATATTGAAGTCTAGCTCTCTTGGAGCTTCCTTGCACCATTCATCTATCATGGGGTTAAAATTGTACTGTGGTTCTGCCCACGCTATCCAGTCAACAATGGATTTTGCATTCTTCAAGTCCTGTTAAGAAATGATTAGAGAGGAAGAGTTGGAAAAAAGTTCCGACAGTAATCTGAAAGGCTTCAAAACGAAACAAAGATCATACCTCCAAAATAATCGCTCTAATTCCATTGTGCTGAACTTTAACAACCACATCCTGGCCATTAGCTAGAGTAGCACGATGAACCTGTGCTATCTACAAAACAGAGAGCCCACTATCAAATTTTTTTGCTATTTGTAGCTTCTATTGTGTCTTGAAGATACTCATGCACCCTAGAAACGAAGAGACTTGAGAAATTTACCGAAGCAGTTGCCAATGGTTCGTCAGAAAAATCTGAGAACAAAACTTCCATGGAATGCCCAAGTTCCCTTTCAATGGTTCCACAAACCTAAGGAAGAATGTACATATCAGAGAACATCAAAACCAGATTACATTGGCAACAATTAAAGAAAAAAACATTATCTTATAAAGCTTTGTAATTAACAACCTCCTGCAAAGGACGAGGAGGAAGTGAATCTTGCAACTGCTTGAGAAGAGAAATATAAGCCTGAGGAAGAACATCAGCACGAGTGGATAAATACTGCCCCATCTTCACCCACAACCCTTCCAACTCCACAATCAAATTCAACACTCTCTTAGCATTACGTTCATGAGCTTTCTCCCACAAAGCAGGAACTTTAGACTTCTTAATCCACTTCTCTCTCTGCTGTACACCCTTCACTCCCCCCACACAACAACAACAACAAAAAAAGTTAACACCTTTCAATAACACTAAAAACAAGAAAAACAAGAAAAATAAAAATAAATTACCTTGTAATCAAAGTAGATGATTATAGCTACAGAGAAGACTTTCATCCTCCTTCTGTAAATGTTTCCCCAACCCATTGACACAAACTTACTCCACACTCTCTGGATACTCGCTAGAAACGATAAGACTACTAACCACCACCGATTATTCTACATAATCAAAAATCACAAAGGTGAGACCTTTTTGATTCTAATTCGAAAATTACAAAATGGGTTAAGAGAAAAACTTAAACCCAGATCGTGAAAATTGAGAAATTGACAAGCAAAAAGGAAAAAAAAAAAATTACCTGGAAAGAACCAGAATTGTTTCCGTGAAATCGCGAGTTACGCATATAAAATCAGATTTGTGAATTGTGAATTAGAATATATATATCCTTTTGGAATAAGTAGGTGATAAGCTTTTAACGTAAGTGTTAAGTTTTTTTAACTAGAAAGACGCGTCAGGTTTTTTTTTTTTTTTTTCTGGCGTTGAGAGTTTGAGATTAGGAAAAAAGAAACCCCCCGCGAAGCAATGAATCTATACCGCAGATTCTTGTGGGGCCCTGCGCAGATTCTTTTTGGGCTTTTTTTGTTTTCACGTATAATGGGCCTATTAGCCCATGTTTAAGTGATTGTAAATGGGCCACGTAACTCAGCTCCGTTTCTGACATACGTTCACCTAATCCATACCAGTCACGGAAGATGCGTTTAGTAACCAACACCACCCACATCATTTAAACCATGCATGCAGTTTATGAAATATGAATCATTTCATCGAACATATACGAAAACGCTAATCTACATAAAGTATGTATTGTATACTTCATGCCAAAATTTATTTTAAAATACCAAAATTTTATGATATATATGCCATTGATTCATTTCGTTATTATCATTTTTTGTGTATATGAATAGAGATTTAAAATATGCTAACTGAAACTAGAAATACAATTAAGTTCAAAAAAAACAAAAACTAGAAATACAATTAAACTTTTCAATGTATAGTTTCAGTTCTGAGAATTGAAAGTAATTGCATGTTTTAGTCAGATTAATAAAATTAACTATAGTGATATGTTGTGTTTTTGACATATTACACACATACTTTGCATATCACTTTTGTGCTTTTCTGGAGTATTCTTAGTGTGTTTTGAGTTATTTCAGGTGTAGAACGAGTTGGAATGCACCAGAAGGAGCATATGGAAGAAAGAATGCAAAAACCAGAGTTTTCCATCGCAGAGCACCCATCGCGGAGCAACCCCTTGCTTG